CCTAAACATCTTTTTATATGTAAATAGACTTTTATAGTCAAAAGTCTATTATTAAAAGTGTTTCCAAACATATACATAAATTATGTTGCGTGGATAATCTACGATAACCAACAAACGGAACTATTCCGTCAACGGGAATATAGTAATTCCCAATCTTTTAATCATTTAGTGTTTTCTTTTACTTTGATATATGGGTTTTTGGAGTTCATGGTTTTTTTTTTTAATGAAAGGCAAAATGAAAATTTGTAGGCAATATTTTTTTCCCCTTTAACCTATTATATTTATGTTCTGCAAATTCACGGCATATTTTTTCCCTTTTACAACCTATTATATTTATTCATGATCAAGTCAATTCAATTATTAATCACTTTAATTTGGTACTTTTGTTTTTCTTTATCCTTGATATATATATATCTTAATATTCTATTTTTATTCACACAATTTTCTTGTTGCAGTTCTGATAACTTGCCTTGCCTGACAATCATATATATAGATTCATCACTTCCTGCTGAAGAAAGGGGTGATTTTTTAGGTGCTTTTTTGTTGGTAGTTTTGTCTCTCTTTTTTCTTGCCTTTTCTTTTTTTGTTCTTTTAAATTTATATTGCATATAATTATGATATTTATCCCATGAGTATGACCTATGCAATCTCATAAAACTAAAAAATTGTCCAGAGCACTTAAAGATACTCAATTTAATGTAGTGAAAATATATGATATATGCTTATAAGAAATTCGAAAATGAAAATTTTCTTTTATTTTTCTGTACTTTTATATTAATGTACAAGTTCGAGTCAATTATTAATATGTTCTATATTTTGAGAAAATTAAACAACTCGAATTGCTAGCAAAGTTTGGAAGTACATATTTTTTCTATTATATTTAACATGTGATATTTTTAATTTGAATTTTAATGTCTACCGCCTTCCCACTAAAATTTTCTGGATCAGCCCCTATATATATCTATTTTTTATTTTATTTAAAAAGCCCCATATTGCAAAGACAATAAAAGAAAGTACAATTAGGTCAATATACTCGTTTCACAAATTAAATATGCACACTTATATTAAAATATATCATACTTTATAAACTAATATACATTTGGCAGAATAAGTATGCATTTATATTAAAGAGTATATAAAAAAAAAAAATCAGTTTAAAGATTTTCAGTGCATGCAATTGGGGTTAATGAGACACAGAGGTATGGGCCTAACATTCAAGCGTTGATTTCTTGTCTTTGACCATAATCTTGATCTAAATTATTATATACATAAATATATATAATATATATAAATAAATATATAATATATAATACATATATTATATATTATATAGTATTATATAGTGAATATTGGATGAGGTTTATATATTGGATATAATTTTTGGTGCCTTTGTCGATTATATCTTCAGACGCCATGTCTTAGCACATTTGTAGATAAAGCTTCACACGCTTGAAAGAAAGCTTCTCTCTTACTGTAGTAATTAGTTTTTAATTAATTAAAAGATTTATTAGTTCATATTTTTATTATTAATTAATTAAAAGATTGATTAGTTCATATTTTTATTATGAATGAATTATTCACTTTTTCATCGCCTTTTCAGTGATGCTCGCCTATTTTTTTAGTAATTGCGTACCTTTACTGATAATTTTTCTATGGTGAGCTAGATTTTTCTTATCAAGTATAAATCCACGTTAGCTTGGATGCGATAACTACTAAATTTTAGTTTGGTTTTCGGAAAGTTTGGCCACATTTTTTTTTTTTTTTTACAAGAAATGAGGCAAAACCTATATCATAGCTATGGCGAGACCCTACAAGGGTAAGACACGCCGGTAATATCGTGTTGTAACTATAAGCACGCCTCCGGAGGACGCTCCAATATATGCAAAGTTAGTTGCTACTATTGTCGCAGCTTAAAAAATACGGGTTAGTTTTTGGTATTTTGTCTATATATATATATATATATATATTCGCTATAAATATGTTTGAATTACTAGGCATATTTTGCAATTTTGTGTCAACCTAATTTGTATCTGATCTGCAGTGAGGCCCTTCTTATTATCTTATACC